ATATATATATATATATATATATATATATATATATATATATGGTCCAGTCTTCGCAACGTTAGGCAGCATTGACCGAACTGCTACAGTATACACTTCACAAACAGCTGATGTTACCAGGACACCAGAGATGTTTCAAGTTGGTAAATGCCAACCGAGTCTTTTACAACCGTACCGGCATTTTATCCGTGATGCGATCGCCGGGTGGGATATAGCTACTCGAATAGCAAAATTTGTCTACTTCCCCAGTTAGAGTGAGATTGCGACCTGGGCCAACCCAATTCTGTAGCAACAGTTCACACTTTGAAGGTGCAAAACGCATACAAAACATAGCTACATTAGTATACAATCTATTCATGAAAGCTTGCAAATTACGTGGATTTTGAATAAGCAGTAAAGTGATATCTGCATACTGCACAACAAAAAGTTGAATGTAAAGAGAAAGAGAGGGTGGCCCTGAAGAACTCCACTGTGTGCGCTGAACTAGGGCGAAAAAGTGCCGTAAGCTCGAACCCGGCTTCGGTTATTAGTATAAAAAATCGCAGAAATTGAAATTAACTAATCGGGCAAAACTTTCAAAAACAAACAGTGCTGGAGTTAGGAGCAGCCGACTGAAGATGGAAATAGTGAGTTTACTAAAGAAATTTGGCTAAAAGTGGAAACGTAGTAGATGCAACCTCGACCGGGTCTAAAACCAGCCTGATACTTCGACATGCTTCCTGCACGCCCGACAGACAATCGACGGAGCAAAATATCAGCAAGAAGTTTAGAGACAACGCTGATTCAGCTAATTCCTCTTTCTTTTTTACAAGAGGAGCCTTCGCCTCACTTGCAGATCGGTAAGATGACTGAATCACACCATTCAGTTGGAACTGGTCCCTTCGCCATATTGCAATTTAATAAACATAAATTTGTATCTGGAGAAGAGGGTTTCGTATGCGTTGAATGCACCGGCTGTCCCTTCTGCCAGTTTCACGATCCATATCATTCTAAAATTAGGTCAATTTTTATTTAAAAAAGTGGATATAGTAGGAGAGGAAACCGCTAGAATGCAGACGATCAAAAGTACGTGAAAGGGTGATGGGAACATTCAAGGTAGCTTATTGATTCTGACCGGAAGGATGTGAACTGAAAGGAGAGCGTTCCGCAGCTGTACTGTTTTCGTAAAAGTAAGTTGACTGAAAGTTAGAAGTGCGACGCCTGGAATCGGTGTAGTTTGTGTACGAGACCAAGAGGAATAGGAACAGAAAAGATGAGTTTGGTCAAAAATAAACTTACAGGCCTTACCTATTACTCACGTATCACTGACTGTACTGAGTTTTACGTTGGAAAATATCCTGAGGAGACGGATAGGCGAGGCTCTATCCTACACATGACTGTAATATCCAACTGAAGAGCGAAACTGAGCGGAAGAGAAAAGATCGTCTGTTACACCAGAAAAAACGACCTTATACGGAGAGCGAGAAGCAACTAAATAACAAATATTGGATGAAAGGTGCATTCATCATCGCCTGATCGCCGAACTTTGCAATTTTTTCATAATCATTTCAACGTTAGCCAAAGATTCTTTAGGGCTACATGAATGGCGATGTTCTACATCCGTTCGTTCTGTTGCACTGGTGTCTATTCAAAGATTTCTGGATTTGTTGTTTTCATAGTTAATCGTCCAACTCGATAAATGCGGTAGACGTTGTTTTGCCGTATCGATCGGGATCACTGGGGTTGGATTCCGATTTCTGTGATTGCTATTTGATGCCTGAGTTGCTCCAACTTGCACACGAGATACAGTCCGATATGGGTGCCCACTGAGTTGATCGCGAAATTTTCTGGTGTGGTTCTGTGCAATCACGCCTCTCGAGTACAGCGAAGCCAAATGGGTATTTTCATGTTTGTGGGGTGCTCATATGTACGTGTGACATAATGCCTTGTACATCGCTTTTCTGACTCGTATCTCCTCTTTCCTTTTTCAGCTTTCATACGTACGCTGTATGTCGAATAAAGCCTAACTGTGGGCCTTTCTCTTGCACGCTGCTATAACACTACAATTTATTCGATATAAAGCAATGGATCGAATATTACGCTTCAAACGGTTCGATGTTCCGTAATCTGGCAATCGTTTTGGAGGCTTGTGGGGGTGGGGGATGTCGCGTTTAGGGACGGGAAATATAACACTTGTTTTAAGGGTTTTGTGACTATTCCGGAGATGGAAAGAACAAAGTGCATACTTCGGGGACAATAAGGGGGAATCCAATCGGGTAACTGTGGTGATTAGATTGTCTTTTTGATGCAAATGAGTTGTGTGAAAAGATGGTCTGCTGTACGGTAAGTAGGCAGAGCATTAAATCAGTGAATTGGTGGAGTTAGAAACCAACTTTAAGCCAATTTCTTAAGGGAAACACACGCCAAATGATTCAGTGGGTAGAAAATGGATGAAAATCGGAGGATACTGGTTTACCGGTTGACCAAAACAAACGTCTACTGGCTTTGTTTACCATAACTGCAACACCTGTCTGCGTTCAAAGAAATCGATCGAACTTGCAATCTTGAGTGTAGACAACGTACATAAAAGAGAAAAATAGGCTTCTGGAAGGTGGGTACTATTCCACTGATGACATGTTCTGATAAGCCTTTGCTCATCAGTTTCAGTTCATTATGTACAACCACCAACCATGCGATTTCGTGCGCCGGTTTTCATTCCTGTTCTTTGACTGCCCATATGGAAGAATGGCAGAAGAAAGACAGGAAAGTTAAAAGAAGCAGAGAAGAGAAAATGTAAAATTTCAGAGGACCAAGCGTGCGAAGAAGTTGAGAAGATACACGAACGCCACTATTAACGACACCCAGCAATATCACTTAGTGCTTTTAACCACCCGTGACGATCATACCAAGATCCACAGTCGAGAAGTCAAACAGAACCTATGTGACCGAGTCTCATGTTTAGGGATATCAAACCCTCGTGAAGGTATTAGCTTGACTGCCCTTGGCTTTTATCCACTCATTACCTGTTTCAGCGAACATCGCTCGAAGTGGTAACCTATCTGGTGACATGAGTAACACATGCTCCAACCAACGTTATCTATGGAGGTCGACCACTTGCTCTAGTGGGCGACCGCGGATACCCAAAACTCTACGCCTAACCTTTGCATTGCTCGTCCGGCTCCTCCACCAGATTCGCGCAATGCTCCGCACAGAGCGGTGTTCAAACACGGACAGTCTATCTTTATCCTTGATCTTAATGGCCAAGTTTCTGCACCGTATAGCAGGACTGGCCGAACTGTCGCGGCATACCCTCGACCCTTCACAGACAGCCGGATGTCGCGACGACGCCACAGATGTCTCAAGTTGGCAAATGCCAACCGAGCCTTCGGTATGCGAGCTGACACTTCATTCGTGGTGTGTCCACCGGGTGACATGTAGCTGCCCGAATAACAAAACTTATCCACCTGCTCTATTACTTCTCCAGTAAGAGTGAGGCTGGGTGCTGGACCAACCCAGTCTTGTATCAACATTTTACACTTTGAAGGTGCAAAACGCATACCGAATATGGCTACCCTGGCGTTCAAGTTATCCAGAAATGCTAGCAACTTACCCTGGTCTTCACTTAGCAGCACAATGTCGTCTGCGTACTCTAGATCAGACAGTCTGCCTCCCGGGAGTAAATCGATACCGCTATCCCCGCATGAGGATAGGGTTGTTTCCATAATCAAATCTATAACAAAGTTAAACAGAAATGAAGAGAGGGGACAACCCTGTCAAACACCACTTTCCGTGGTGAACTCGGGAGAAAAAGTGCCGTGAGCCCG